GGCTCATATTCCCTTGGTCTCAACAAGGAATGTGAATCTGGGTTTAACTATTAACTAATTGTTAGGGGACCTGAGCAAAGCTGCGTTTGTCTTGGTTTCCGCACCCTCAACTCGATCCATGGAGCTGTACGCACTAAGATGATGCTGATATAGCTTCATGTCTACGCTAGGAGTGCTGATTCTAGTAATCGTGCTTACTAGGGCTAGTACTTATTATACTATAAGTACTGCCTGTGTATGCTTTTTAAGGAGTTGCACCCAGTAATGCACTCTCAATCTGTGTGATGTAATAGTGATTAGCATTTGGATAATAATATAGCGTTTGTAGAATAGTGCACAAGTCCCGTCGTGCCCTTTTGTCGAGCATTTTGCCGTCTATAGACCACATTTCGGTCTAATACAGTGTACATCTGTAGTACAGTAGTCGCCGGCTATTAAGTCCACGGTTAAGAGGCCCAGCCGCTTATTAAGGCCCAATTTGGTCTGGGCCCGAGGTGGGCTTAATAGCCGGCGACTACTGTAGTAAGACAATACAGTATAAGGTAGGTATCGTGAGACAGTCTAAGCCAGTGTAACAGGAATAGGGCACTTAGTAATAATAGTGATAGTAGAACATCAGGACTTTCCTCGTTTTCAGCCCTCTCAACTCTATCCATCAGGCTGTGTCATCTTATTGGTTAACGAGACATTATTGAGTAGTATCGCAGGTTCTGTTATGTCCCATGGTGTTACAGTAGCCTTTTGCTCTGGTACTATATCATTATTTACCCTCACTCACCCATAATAGGTGTCTAGCCAAGAGAGGACTGGTACTGCCACCACCAATACTGCTACTTCTAATGCTACTTACTAGGGTGAAGCTGAGTGATAGTATTTGCTAGTATTGTTACTGACTGTTTAACAAGTCAGAAAAGACGCTGATTCCAGTCCGCACTGTTCTCATATCCTCTCAAGCTCGGCAAGAAATGTAGTTGTACTGGTGTTGGCACTGATGCCCCCATTCGTCAGAGGTGACGCTGATTAAGCCAACGCTAGGGCTCGTATTCCCTTGGTCTCAATATGGAATGTGGGTCTGTTATATTGCACCCGCAATTAACACATACAGTTAAATTTACCGACTTTTTACGCTTATTTCTCCACGTAGTCTCCACTATCCGTCTTTTCTCCCCACCCATTAACCCCCAAATCCCACCAGTCCCGTAAGACAGAAGACTCAGGGTTTAAAAACCCAGGTGGGACTACACACTATGCACAAGCTACTTTTGCCTCACCGTCTAATTATGTC